AACTGTAAACAACTGTAAACAACTTTAAACACAAGTTCAGTCCTCTCCACTTCCGCCCGCCGCGCGCCCACTGCAATAAGAGCCGCGTCCGGTCGGAAGGACTCCACAATAAAAGCATGACTGCGTGCAACCAGGAACTCATCATTTAAAGGTTATTTCAGGATTTTATAGCTAAAAACTGAAAGAAAATAAACAACAACACACAGACAAACAGGACAACAACAGCTTATGATGTAATATTTTAATTTATATAGTGTATATATTTCATCATTAGATTTTATTCTATTTGATTCCGTTTTATTTCCCCTTTGTAAAGACGACACTATGCTGCTGTGCCAACTTCAATTTAAACTACGGAGAGTCAATAAAGGAACATCTTATCTGATCTTTCTCTTTAATATTGTATTTATTATTATTTATGACAGCTGGAGATTATTAATCCCTTTGAATTATTAGACGACCCATCTAAAACATTCACACTGCAGGATGATAAATAAAATTATTTCAGGTGTTTGTTCCTCTTATGCAATCATGAAACAACTTAAGATAAACTAATAAAATAAATGAAAAACATGAAAACAACAACAACAACAACAATAATAATAATAATAATAATAATAATGCTTTGGGTTTTAGAAACAATAACAGTTTTCATTCTGATTTTGTGTGCTTTTATTTTGTTAAAGGAAGTGTTCTCTCCGCTCTAGTGATTCATTTCCTGTTTGAACTACGGCAAGCATGAAGTTCTTACAGTAATCTGACATCACATGCCAACACACACAAACAAATGAGTGTGTGTCACCCCCCACGTACACAAACACACTCACAGTTCCTCTGTGGTTGAGGAGCACCTGAACGCACCGTTGGTTCACTTCTGTGTGTGTGTAGTGTTTTCTTACTAAGGGGACACTGAGAGGCGTTAATATATAAACCTTCCAGCAAGTTCTGGCTTCTGTCCCACCAGACTACATTGAAAAAAACACTAATTTGACCAGATAATC